GTCTGACAGTGATAGCAGTGTGGTATCTACCGTAGTTGCTGTCACTGTTTGACAGCTGGTACAGATCGGGATTGCTAAATCCTGATGTGTACTGGCTTTTTGCTAAATGTTTCAGAACAGAAACGTTAAGCTACACGTTTCTATTCTGAAACATTGTTGCAGGCAATAACACATTAGGGCTGCAACTAACGATTATCTTCATAAATCAGTTGGCTGATAATTTTTTTGATTAATTGGTTAAAGAAAAAAAATGAAATACCATCTATTATTTAAAATGAAATACACAAATGGATTGTTACAAAGTTTATTTCAGAATAAAACGGTATGCGCATTTTTTGCCATCGCACCACACTGGAACGCACGGCATTGCAGTACTGTACGTTTCAGTGTGGGCGATCACACTGTGGGTGGGAGGCACGTTTGGGGTGCCATTTAAATGAATGGCACCACAACACAAATCCTGCAGCAGAATTTGTCAAGCCGAAATAAAAAATTACTTCTCCCACCTTTATTTTATATTTTTTTTAAATAATTGTATATTATACATTTAAATTTGTTTTATGGATTTAAAATAATATGAATTGTAAAACTCCAATAAAATAGCCAAACTTTTATTTAAAATAAATAATAAGCCCGGTCATCAGTTTAGAGTTAGCCACGAATATCGGCAGGAAAATTATTGCTCTCACTCATTGACGCTCGCGGTGATATCTGACATGTGTAGCGCAATCATCGTTTTGATACGTTGGTGCACCCAACTTGTGTTTGGGTTAGTAGTCGCGTGTTTGCGCGGTTGGGAAACTAAACTGTTTGTGGCTTATTTTTTATTTTATTTAACTTTTTATTTTTATAACTTCATTGCCATCACATGGGATCGCATATTTGAGATGACAGGTTCTCTTTAGGGTGACATTAGGGGGTCTATTAAACTATTAGTCATTCTCACTACCTTATCTGTGGCTATTAGTGACAGCTAATCCCAACATATACTGGGTCAACTGTCACTCTAATCTAATAAGAGCTGTCATTAAATGCTTCTGAGAAAAAGCATTTAGTAACAGCTCTGTACATGCTGAGATCCGAGTGACAGTTAAGTTAATATCTGAAGTGGTTGGGAGCGAAGGCCCCTTTTATTTTAATTGTGGAGGATGCATTTTCTGTTTGAAGGTGTGCAGATCCTCTCTCTCCTGTGCTGTCCTGGATGTATTGATCAATACTGAGTTGCATTCATTTGTGTATTTTATATATGCTTGGAGTTCAAGTTTAAAGGGTAATATAATTTTCCCAGGTGAATTTGGAAAAAAATGAACTATCCTCACTAATCTTCCCCTTCCCCCTCTCACTGCTGAACAAAGACTCCTTCCCCTGTGTGGCTTCTGCTGTATGACCCAGTCACTGTACACAACAGTGCAGCAAGAAGAGCTTCTCATTAGTCAGGGAGCAGTTGGGGGAACATGGCAGATTGGCAAAGATAATTTAATTTTTCCAAATTCGCCTGGGAAAGTGGAATTACCCTTTATCTAAAACTTGTACTAGAAAGAGTTCTGAAATATGCCTCTAAGAAAAATTTGAAAACATGTTACACTTACAGTACATGGACATTGAGACGTATATTAGAACATAAAATATATATTTTGTTATCTAAACCTATAAATAATTATCAAAGATTTATTATGGAAGGAACACAGAAAATAGCAATTTGTCTAACAAATCTGTATTTCAAGGGGAAGGACTAGAGAGGCTTTTAGTGCAGACATACCCCATGAATGGCTGGGATAAAAGGAATATATTTGGCTCAAGGCGGGCATGATCACTCAGTGTCACAGGTTGGTTTATCTGTAACATGAGCATCACTCTGCAGAGCCTGTCACCTAAGAAAATTGCTAGGCTTGGGAATCCAAGTATATAGCCCAGAATGTGTACAACTTGTGAGGTAACCAAATTTTATTTATCTCGGTTGATCAACCACCCTATATTAATCATCCCACTTCTAGATGACTCAAAAATTCTCCCACAGCAGAACTTGTGAGAACCATCAAGAAAAGGTACTACAGGTACCAAACGTGGCAAAGAGGGGACAGGGCTTGTCCTGCCGTTTTGGAAAATATGCTTATTGCTAATGAGATGCAAAAACTTCTGTTTACTCTATGCTGGAGACATGTAATTAGCCAACTGATAAATTCAAGGTTGCCATGAGGAAATTTAGTTGAAGAACTGATCTTACCAAAAAGAAACCCTCAACACCCTTCTCTTTTTCTTTGCAGCAACGATCGAGGGGGTGAACCACTTCTGCGTCTGGCCCTCAATGAGAACTGATGGAGGACAGGAAACTAGACCCCCTACCTGTGCAGAGGAGCAGTCTGGGGTGCAGATTCAAACAAGTGCAGCAGAGGAAGAGGATAAAAGGTGGGAGAGATCAGAGGACAAGCTAGCATATGAGAGATCAGAGTCTCCACCACCTAGGTTCCTGTGACGTTTCTTCTCCAGCGAGAGGGAAAATAAAAAATAAAGACTGGATGACAGAAGGACTTCCTTTCAATCAAAGACCTGGTGACAAGTTTTCTGACCTAGCGAGAGGGGCTTCTGTCTTATATGCTCTCCTAAAAGGGAAATAACATTTTTAAACAATGAAATGTCTGCTGGAGAAGCAATAGAGAGTCTACTACAGTGTGGTAAATAAAAGGTAAACCTTAACATATAGCAGGAATCAATATAATGTATGATATAGTGAAAACTCTGCCCATGACATCTTCAAAAGGACTGGAGAAAATTATGATCAGCCATTAATGATGTGGGTCTGTTATTTCTTTTGGGAAGGATCCATGAGTACAGTTATAGTCTATTCACAGTCATCCCTTGCAGTTAATCAACAGTTTGTTAACCACTTGAAGTCCGTGGTGTTAAACCCCCTTCCCATCCAGGCCATTTTTCATTATTCAGCGCTGCGGTACTTTGACTGACATTTATTCCGTCATGCAACGCCTTACTGAAATCAATTTTATACCATTTTTTAGGGACACATAGAGCTTTCTTTTGGTGGTATTTAATCACTACTGCGTTTTTTATTTTTTACTATATTAAGGAAAAATTACCGAAAAAAAAAAAAAAAACTCTCTCATACTGGGGACCGTCTGTTTGGTTCCACCTTGGATGAGATCATTAAGGATCTGACAGGGGGGTAAGAGTACCTTCCTCCCCCAGGCGCGCAAGAAGGATCAGCGCCGGAAGCCTGGGCCTACTTTTTTTTTTGCCCCCCCCCCGCCCTCCGACAAGGGCGGTAAGTTTAACAAACCCTTCTCTTCCCAATCCTCCCAGCGTCCGTGGCAGCCACCAAAAGTATTGGGACACCCTCCAAATCATTGGATTCAGGTGTTCATGAAATTTCCTTGCTGCTACATATTCCGCGGTCAACTGTTAGTGGTATTGTAACAAAGTGGAAGCAACAGGGAACAACAGCAACTCAGCCACGAAGTGGTAGCCAACGTAAAATGACAGAGCGGGGTCAGCGCATGCTAAAGTGCACAGTGAGCAGAAGTTGCCAACTGTCTGCAGAGTCAATAGCTACAGACCTCCAAACTTCGTGTGGCCTTCAGATTGGCACAACAACAGTGCGTAGAGAGCTTCATGGAATGGGTTTCCATGACCGAGCAGCTGCATCCAAGCCTTACATCACCAAGTGCAATGCAAAGCGTTGGATGCAGTGGTGTAAACGACGCCGCTACTGGACTCTAGAGAAGTGAAGACATGTTCTCCGATTGACGAATCACGCTTCTCTGTATGGCAATCCGATGGGGATGTGTCTGGGTTTGGCAGTTGCTAGGAGAACGGTACTTGCCTGATTGTAATGTGCCAAGTGTAAAGTTTGGTGGAGGGAGGATTATGGTGTGGGGTTGTTTTCCAGGGGTTGGGCTTGTCACCTTAGTTCCAGTGAAGGGAACTCTTAAGGCATCAGCACACCAAAACATTTTGGACAATTTCATGCTCCCAACTTTGTGGGAACAGTTTGGGGATGGCCCCTTCCTGTTCCAACATGACTGCGCACCACTGCACAAAGCAAGGTCCATAAAAACATTTATGAGCGAGTTTGGGGTGGAAGAACTTGACTGGCCTGCACAGAGTCCTGACCTCAACCCGATAGAACACATTTGGGATGAATTAGAGCGGAGACTGTGAGCCAGGCCTTCTCGTCCAACATCAATACCTGACCTCACAAAATGTGCCTGTGGAAGAATGGTCAAACATTCTCATAGACACACTCCTAAACCTTGTGGACGCCTTCCCAAAGAGTTGACGCTGTTATAGCGGCAAAGGGTGGGCCAACTCAATATTGAACCCTACCGACTGGGATGCCATTAAATTTCATGTGCATGTAAAGGCAAGCATCCCAATAATTTTGGTAATATAGAGTATATACATACATACATACATATACACACACACACACACACTTACCTTGGATCTGGCTTCTTCAACTAGGAGAGCGTGACACCAACAAAGACAATTGAAGAGGACTTTTGAAATAACATTAACATGTTAAAGCATGGATGAGATTTTAGAGACTAGCATAAGATTTACTTTAAATCTTAAGCTCAAGTTGTGTTTATGTGAACAGTAATTAGCACAATGCAAACATTTACGCAGGTTTGTAATCAACAAATTCTGAAAAATATTTGGCATGCTTGGTCAGCTAGAAAACACAATTGCACAGCACTAACTCCAGTTCTCCATACTGCCTTCAGCATTTCTACAATTCAGTTTGTGGACATACTTTTGAAAGGGTAGATCAGGGGGAGGCAACCTCTGCACTCCAGTTGTGATAAAACTACAAATCCCATTATGCCTCTGCAAGTCATGTCTGTGGCTGTCAGGGTCTCACAATGCCTAATGAGACTTGTAGTTCTGCATCAAATGGAGTGCAGAGGTTGCCTACATCTGGTGTATATTTACCAAAAACAGATGGTTCCCATGTTTATTAAGATTCTATGCAGACAATTGCTTACCTAAAAACTTCTTTTACATGCAGCATGAGTTCTGGTCCAATGCCATCCCCTGGGATCATTGTTACTGTGTGTCTTCCTCCATACTTTGCAGGTGGGGGCTAAAACCACAGAGAGCAGAGATGCTAGACTGATATATAGATACTCAAGAAGAGAAGTGGTTGCGTTGATCAGAGCAATCAAATAAGTGCCAAAATGCATTAGTAACTGGAAGCTTTGGTTGCTATGGGCAACGCATCCACTTATTTATGTAGTTTTAAAAATAAACAGTGATTAGTATTGCTGCAGCTTAAGGCCAAACAGCCATCAAATGCATCGGAGCTAAGAATTTAACAACTTGGAACGAGATTCATCTCCCCTACTTATAAAATAATGATCACATAAATGATAATTAGTATGCGATTAGCCTAAGACACAAACAAGTTGATTAGAAGCAAATAAAGCAGAACCCAGGAGTTAATTCTTAAAAATGCATTTAAGTACCTAACCTATTGACTATGTACCTTATTTGTGAATCACTTGGCTGTAGATGCTCAAATCATCAGTGAATTTGTGTTGACACTGTCCTTTTTGGAGGGTGGCTACTTTTGTTCCCCATGGTTTCTGTGTGTCCTTCAGAAGGACAGCGTCAGCAGGAATTCAGAGATTTGAGGATCTACAGCTGAGTGATATACAAATGAGCTACATTACATAGTCTCACATAGTCCGGTTGAAAAAAAAAGACATGAGTCCAAACTATAGAGAGAAGACATTTTTTTTTTAAATAAAAAACACATTAAAAGTCTCTTCCCCCATCAATGCTGCTTTAAGTACTTACCTTATGTGTTGCCTCTTGATGCCAACATCTTCCTTCCACTCACTTCCAACACTCCTTCAAGCGCTGGTGCCGCTCTCCGATCCTCTTTCTTCCCGTGTCCCATGGAGTCTGTCTGGCGTGCATGCTCCTGGCCGTGTGTGCATTCATTGACATCAAGTCTCTCTTCCTCCCCCCACAAGTGATATAGACTGAGCATGCGCCCTTACACACTTCATCCTGCACGGTCGTTCAGGAAGCTGTGCTCTACAGCCGGGATCGAGCGGCGCAGACACAGGCAAGGTATTACCCATTTGCAAAATTTGTATAAAATGTTGTTGCATACATCTACTGCTTGCTAGCAGTAGATATACAGGTGAAACTCTATTAGAATATCGTACAAAAGTTAATTTATTTCCCTAATGCAACTTAAAAGGTGAAACTAATATATGAGACAGACTCATTACATGCAAAGCAAGATAGTTCAAGACGTGATTTGTCATAATTGTGATGATTATGGCTTACAGCTCATGAAAACCCCAAATCCACAATCTCAGAAAATTAGAATATTGTGAAAAGGTGCAATATTCTAGGCTCAAAGTGTCCCACTATAAAAAAAAAATAGACTTTTAATAACACTTTAAAGTAAATTTCCACCTTTGCAAGTGATCCACATTTATTGTGGTAATGAAGAGGTGCAGTGATTATGTATACATGTGCACATTTTCATGACTCACATTTTAGGCTTTCCTGGGTTTTTTATAAATCAACATTTTATTAGGCCTTAAGCTTAAAAATTTTCTCCACAGGAAAATCAGTCAGACACCAGGGTTGGATGGTAATTAGGCTTTAAACAGCTCTCCCCCTCCCTGTTATTCATTGTAAAATGATCACCAAACAGCTCTGCCTTTACAGAGAATATCTGTAAAAAAAATCAGTCAAGGCTACTGGACTTGCTGTAATTTTTTTTTTTTTCTTGAAGACATTTCACTGGACATCCGATCAGCTTTCTCAATTCAGAATGACATGTACAAAAAATTATCTGGGAATAAATATGGTGAATGTCGCTCCAATCCACATAATCTGTTATTGACCTGCACAGAGAGCGATGTTAAAAGAGCATTGTATGTGGCAGACAATAGATGTCTCATCCCCCTACCTCTATTCAAGCTTGGCTTCTCCATTTTTACATAAATAGCCTCTTTCACACCTCTTTTAAACCAGTCCTCCTCCCTGTCTAGGATGCGTACTTGACTGCCTTCAAAAGGAGTGACCTTTTTCCTTTAGGTGTAGGTACACTGCCGAATCCTGACCAGAAGGTTTGGCTCTTCTATGCTGTGCCATACGCTGGTGTAGCTGCTGTTTTGTTTCACCGACATACAATTTTCAGCACTCCTCACTGCACTGGACTGCATACACAATGTTGTGTATGCAGTTGGGTCTTTTGGGTGAACCAGTTGTTGCCTCAGTGTATTGCTGGGTTTAAAGCAGACAGGGATGTGATGTTTTTTTAAAAAACCCTTCTTAGTTTCTCAGACACCCCAGCTACATATGGGATGACCAAATTCTTCCGTTTGTCATGCTTTTCACCCTCACTGGTACTCTTGGCATTCTTTCCTCTTCTTTCCGTTTTGACAAAAGCCCAGTCTGGATACCCGCATGTTTTAAGGGCCCCCTGAGGTGTTTGAATTCCTATGTCTTGGCCTCTGTTTGGTGGGAATTTTCTCTGCCGGGTGGTGTAGATTCCTGATGACTCACAGTTTGTGGTCTAAAGGGTGGTGGGAGTCAAATAGGGTGGTAGGATTAGCAGGGAAGCCGTCCCCATGCTTCTCGTCACTGGGTGACGAGTCTTTACACTAGGAGCTGGCTTTCTGGCCAATCAGGAAGCCGAGCAGCAAGTAATTACACGCTGCACGGCTTCCTGATTTGCCAAGAAGCCGGAGAGGGTGGAATGACA